TCTCTCTCTCTCTCTCTCTCTCTCTCTCTCTCTCTCTCTCTCTCTCTCTCTATTGTTTTAGCTACAGAACACTAAGGGCATAATATTATGCTGCGCATTTAATGCATTGCAATATAGTGCAAGGTTTAAGTAAGAGCTTTGTCGTAGTAGAATCTTCTCTTCCATCGTTCGTGACTCTACGAGAAGATCAAGAGTTCGTTTAAAATTTAGAATGTGGCATACAACAATACAACTTATAATGCCGAGATAAACTAGTCTTGTGTGGTTTGCGTCCTCGCTAGGTGCGAAGTGAAACTCGTGACCCAACAACTATGACCGAAAAAAAAAAGAGTTGTTGTCCTTCACCCAAAGATGGAGATCACGATAAACTTATGCTGCACAAAGAAATCAAAGTCACGCGTCCTGTGGCAAAACTAATCCGCCCTTTAAGTGAAAGGTCACAGACAGTCTCTTTTTCTTTTTAATAAAGCGACAACTATGACGGTGCGTTTTAGTTTGAGATAGCTCGCATCCTCTTTTTGACCCTCGACCTCTTGAGGTCACGAGGAAACCCCGTGCCGGAACGAGGCTGCAATGGCAGCAGCGCGCAATAAATGAAACGATTTGATTGGTTAGGCTCTGCTCAAGTTCCTTGGGGAAATGGGTCATGTAAACATTGTCACATGGGGAGCAGAAGTAAGGTAGATAATTCGGTTAGTGTTGTTATTGTTCCAAGCGAGATCTATAAACCTGTCTCTGTATGGGACATCGAGATCTAGATCTAGATCTAGATTCATATTATGCTAGTCGGAATGGTTTTCTTTGTATTTCTCACCTGCCCTCCCCTGACTCTGAAATATCGTGTTGTTTGTGTTATTGTTATTGGTCCCCGTAGCCGACCGACCTTGTACAAATTCTTCGTCTTGTTTACAAGCGATCAGCTGACTACTGACCATCCAACTTCCAAGAGACTTACGTTGTTTCTTTTCATCTTTTCTTTTATTAAGACGGTCTCAGCTTTGGGTGGGTGGGACTCTGCACACAATCGCTACTTTTGTATACCCTGGGAATACTTTACTTGGCTGAAGTGCTTTAGTGCAACACTCTTCGCTTTTCTAGAATCTCGATTACGTGCCGTGATTTAGGATTTTGGGGGGCTGCAGGTCTCACACATTCTCTCGGGTAACGGAATATGTATCCTATACCTGACCTGTACGTGATGCTCTGTGAATGTACACAGTCACACAGTCGCCCCGAACAGTTGAATGCAAAGTCATGACGTGAAGCAGGTCTTGTCTTTATAGAGGTAGTCTGTGTTATGTTTTCGTCGCTCTCACCGAAGACCCAGGTCGACCGATTTGTTTTTACATGATGAATGGTAGTTTGACCTCGCAGGGGTGTAGTGTTGCAGGCATTTAAACACAAGGTCAGAGGTTTGGAAATGCGTGTAGGCTACCTGATAAAAACAATGCGTGGTAGGATGTGGCATTTAGAAGGTGGATTGGATTGCGTAATCATTAATCTATTTAATTTTAACAACATTGGATGTTTGGAAAGCAACATATTTTGTTTGGGTTTTTTGTTTTGTTTTTGTTTTTTTGCAGAAGTGATTTCTTTTTTCTCTCGCAGAAGTGACTTATTTTTTTGTGTTCCTTTTTCTCTTTCCAGGTGGACAGCCTGAGCAAGATGTCTGACATTGTCAAAGGTCGCACTCCAAGCACTGACAACTGTGTCAAGGTCACGCGCTCCTCGGCCGCTGATACCAGCTGTCTTATTGTACAGGTGAGCATTAGAGAGAGAGGGAGAGAGAGAGAGAGAGAGTGTTTGTGTGTGTGTGTGTGTGTGTGTGTGTGTGTGTGTGTGTGTGTGTGTGTGTGTGTGTGTGTGAGAGAGAGAGAGAGAGAGAGAGAGAGAGAGAGAGAGAGAGAGAGATTAACTTAAAGTATTGCTCTATGCATCTAGCTCCTTGAGAAATTTCATCATAAAACATTTTAGAATGCTGGATGAAAAGAAGGTGAAACTTAATTTTAAAGACAGGCGCCTTCCTATTCTCCGTTATTTTTTTAATGCATTTTTGGACTATAAGGATATGAAAGAAGGTTCTTAAAATCAGTTTAAAAAAAATTATGCTAGGTACAAGTATAAAAAGAAACACTCCCAGTGTTGCTTGTCACTAAAATAAATGGTATCTTAATAAACATAATGAACGACCTTATGCAACTGCGAGCGCCGTAAAGCTCTTACTTACAAACATAACTTTTTTGATAACTTTGTTTTATGTATGTTAACAATGCTATATTTCCTTTTATAAAGTTTCCTAATGGTTGGTCATTTTTTTCTCCCTTTCAGTACCCCTCTGATGGGACAAGCGAGGAAGACGAGGTTCTGGCAGAGTATTACAAGAACGTCATCTTCAGCGACTCTTCCCAGACTTGTGTTATTTCCCTCCCAGACTGAACTGAAGTTGTGGTCCTTAGTCTATGATCATGATCAGGTGAGGATCGATCGACTAGCAACTGTAATTTCGGAGCAGCTTCAATAATTTACTTTTCAAAATGAAATGAAAGGAGTTCTTTCGTCTAAAAAATTACCATAGGATTTAAATGGAGTTATGGATTCGTGATTTTCAGAAACTCATTCGATTCAGTGAATAAACTGGATGACATTGTAGAGTTACAAAGATGAATATGGGATTTGATTGAGCGACATCATATTGATATGTCAGCATCACTCGCTGTGACATTTCTTTGAAAAGGCAATGTGATTTTTTTTTGGTTGTCAGTTCAAGTGTAAATCATTGTATACCATGTACAGATGTACTTATTTATTTCCTATCTTGCTCCTTCATATTGGTCATTAGCAATTGTTCTTCTAAGAAAGGGTTGCTAATATCACTAGTATATAGGCCGATGCAAGCATTGAAATAAAAAAAAATTAAAATTAAAAAAAAGAAATGTTGAATGTAAGCTGCTGTTGTGCTGTATATATGTTCAGAGAAAGATGTTAACAAAATTGCAAGGAAAAACAAGTTGTTAGCAACGTCTGTTCTCTCTCTGTCCCTCAGGAGACCAGCTTCTGGTATTTCATCGTGCAGCGCAGTCACCGGACTGGGCTCATCCAAAATCATCCACAATTCACCCGTCGCTCCGCTGCTTGCCAAGGCAGCCACTTCAAGAGAGTCCGGCCTCTCACAACCGGACCACATCACCCCCGCTGCGATATCGGAGACAGCGTGGCTCGCTACTGCCACTGATGCGCTGAGAACAGCCACAGCGGCGTACGCTGCCATCATCGCTCGACCCGCCAACCCGCAGTGGGATGGGACTTGATTCCACCACCCTAGGCCACCCCCCGTACGGTACGGTACGCTACCGCCACCACCACCACCACCACCACCCAGCGCGCGACTTCAGACAAGTCCAGCTGCCCAGCGTGGTTGACCTGCGGCCTAGGGTCACATGTCGAAGTTCGTGACTTCTCCTGTTTCCGTCCGTTACCGTGGCAACCCTGCCACCTCCTCCTCCTCCTGACCCGACTGTGAGGATGAATGCTGTGAAGTACATCACTCGGCCCCGGTGTCCTCCAGTACCCAGACGTGGTAGTGGACAATCAGATAACTTTGTCTCATTCTCAGTCAATAAGTGCCCAGAGCCCTCTACTGCAAGAGTTGTTCACATTTTCGTGTCCATGTTAAAGCAAGCTGATCGCTTCCACTGTTGAGTTTTCAGTCTTTTAAGTAAATGCCTAAAAAATGAGGGGTGCCACTTTTCCGACGTTTCAGAATTCTAAAGCCTCTTTTATTCTCGACTTGTTGTATAATGTATAAACCCTGACTGTTCATGTTCCACTTTAAGACATGCTCATTTGTCATGGAATGCAAATTCAATAAGTTCTGAAATCTTTCTAGGTTTAGCTGGCACTCCTGAATGAAAGTCAATTAATTTTGGACTGTTATGTTTTCAACTGTTTGCACCCCTTACAATTAATGCATGCACAGGAGGCCATGTTGGCAGAACTCTAGTGTAGTGAGAGGAAGAAGGCAGGGCTGAGTGATACAAGGGACACTACTCTGTGGAGTTGGAACCAGATCCAACCACTGGATATTGTTAATGGGGCATCAATGTCTCAGAGGGAATACAAAGCCATGAATGGGGAACATTGTTAGTCATTTTGTTTATATCATAAGTAGTTTATTATGTGTAGAAATAGAAACTTTAGTTTTTAAAAATTCTTTCTTTATTATTTTTTTTAAAGCAATGATAGACTGTAATGTTAGAATATTGTATATTTGTAATCCTATTACTATTGTAAAGAAATGGTGTTGAATTCCATGTAATACCTCTCCTGTAGTTCATAATGTAATTAATTCATTAATTCATTGTAGCCGCTGAGTATGATGTTCATGAATAACCACACAATTTCAGAGCAAATAATATATTTGAAACACACACAAAAAATCTAAGAAATCGACCTTTTTAAATTTAGGATCCAGCTTTGGGTTTTTGTTGTAGTGATCCTTATTGACATAGGAATGTTATTCTGATTATTGCTTAGTAATAACGGAAAATCTGTTTATTATGACGAAAAAAAAATGTATATCCTTATGGTTTAAAGAAACATCTTGTGAAGTTCTCTAAATGACTGGTGTTTAATAAAAGCACAATAATGACTAACGTGGTCTGATGATTGACACGTTTTCATCATTTGTTAAGATGTTGAACTGATTCGCATAGATCGAAATAATTTTTTTGTTTTTTGTTTTGCTAATTCTGTGTTCTTTCCACTATAATCCTGTTGCCTTCATTTGTACATTTCATTTTACGCTCAGCTATAGAATTACCGTTGCTCTTGATCAGTCATACTAAATACCGGACTCACTCTTCTTATGTTGTCTGGTATTTATGTTGTTGTTTTATATAATTATTATATTGATATGTTTTTAGGTTAAAGTGACATTGTTTGAAGACTTTTGTAATTGTTTAATTACGTGCCTTAAAATAGAATAATTGAAGATTATAACACCAATTTTTTTTTTTTAATGTAGGCTTTTATGTCTTAATTTGTTTCTGAAAGATTAATGACTTTGTTGGTTTCAATGAGCAAAAACTCTTTATTTCTCATCACATTATTTCTTTTCATGTAATCCTTCATTTCTGATAAATTTATAAATAATTAGTTGCTTTTTTTGTATTAGATTAATACTCTAGAATCTTCATGTTTAGTTTCCTGTGAGCATGATACCATCATGAAATTGAAGACAGCTATACAAAATAAACTTTATACCATTTATAAAATGCGTTGTGCTGTTTACTAGTTGTGTGAGAGAATGTATGCTTGGAGGAGTTGAGTGCTCTTTTCAACAATTTGTGGGGGTGGTTGGTGGGTGCTCTTGTGTGGTTTGCTTCTTGTCATGTCAAATGTCTATCGTCCATTTTTCCCCTCCTTCTTTTTTTGTGTTTGCTACTCTCTTGTAACTCCTCTAATCTTCAGCACTTACATGACCTTATTGTGTTGCAAGTGCCGTAATACTCTTACTAAAACTAAAACCACAATTTGTTGCACCTGTGCAACTTCAATAGGATGAGCCAAGAGCTAGGGGAGCCTTGCCTTTCAATTTGAAAATAAAATGTTAATGTTTTTATGCCCCCATTGACACAATATAAATCCTTTAGGAGATGGGCTTTGGCCCTACTTGTCTACGTCGGTTCGGGCTGAGAGGGATGCAACGTCCCAACAGAAAGGATGAGATACTCAGTAAAATCATCTCCACACAATAATCAAACTAGGGTCATCTACGTGAGACCACAAAGTGCCTAAACGCCACGCCACACACTGGTGTTGGAGAAACTTAAAAACTTTGAGAACACTTCACTAAGGATTCGAACCAGGACCATAGACATCACAGTCCAGTATTCTAACAACTGAATTATTGGTGTGTGTGTGTTTGTGTGTGTGTGTGTGTGTGTGTGTGTGTGTATGTGTGTGTATGTGTTGGTGTGTGTGGGTGGGTGGGTGTGGATGGGTGTGTGTATCTGTGTCGTGTGCGTATGTGTGTGTGTGGTTGTGTGTTGCTGACAGCAGAGTAATTATGTGCACCGTCTGCTCTGATACATATATATACATATATACATATATATATATATATATACATATATATATATATATATATATATATATATATATATATATATATATATATATATATCTATCTATATATATATATATATATATATGTATGTATATATATATATAAACAACTCATTCATGAGGGTCTCCGATTAAAGAGAGGGGTGAAGAACCATAATCGCCTTTGTCTGCTTCAGACAAGACACTTGATGATGCTGGTGATGACGACAGTTGACACAAAAAAAGCCCCTAAAGTGTCCCGCGCGCTCACATGACCTTACGCAGTTTCAAGCGCCGTGAAACACTTTAAAAAACGACAAAAACAAAACAGCTTATAAAAAAACAACCCAAAAACACACATACATGGGGTGATCCAACAATGTCATGCTTATAACTGTGCCTGAACTGCAACAGGGAACTGCTGCTTTTTCGTTCCTAATCCTTACTATCGTCATTTTCCCTCTACACGGTAAAAAAAAGTTGTTTTAATTGTTTCAAAAGTGAACTTCAACCCCCCCCCCCTCTTTTCCTCCCCTTCCCCATTTAAAAAATAAGCTATCCTAAGCCCCTAAGTGACACATTGAGAGAGGAGACCTGGTGTGCGTAGTAAGCAATAATTTAATAATAGATGACATATGTATAGCGGAAATTCCCCATCAACATAATGTACAAACTAATTAGGCCTATTATTACCTCAGCAGACCTGATAGCATTCTGAAACAATCTCAATTCCTGGGAATGGGAAGCATACAGTGCAAACTGCCATTTTTATAGATGTTTAAACACTCACGTACTGAAAAGATCTTTCTCTCTTTATGGCCGGGGATCCATTCCCACTTGTGTGAAGTGAAAAAAAAATCGTGTAAAGTGCTTTTCCATCATATAAACCATCTATGTAAGGTAATTTATCTAGAACTACGCAGAATAGGACAAATGTCAACATATCTTAGTGTTGATTCCATCAAAACCCTCATCTCTTCTTTTGTCCTTTCACGTCTAGACTACTGCAATTCTTTGTTTGGAAACCTTCCCACTGAAACGTTAAATAGATTACAGCGACTCCAGAACCAAGCTGCTGGCATGATTTTAAAGAAATCTCTCAAAGAGCATATAACACCAATGCTAGTTCAACTACATTGGCTCCCGGTGAAGGCACTAATTAAGTATAAAATAATTATTATTCTTTGTTATAAGTGCGTCAACAACATTGCACCATCATATTATCTTTGTGACATGGTCATTGAATATATACCATCTCGGCCTTTAAGATCGGCGACGAAAAGACTTTTAAGACCTGTCCAAAGCAAAAGTCAGAGACTCGGAGGGAGAGCTTTTTCACACCACGCCCCCTCCTGTGGAACACTTTGCCAGCTCATCTACGGGAGTCCACCACTTTATGAAAAATTAAATCAGCTCTTAAAACGCATTTGTTTCAGTCCAGCTTCAATCTGTAATTTCCGACATTCCCAATATAAATATTATTATGTTCTCTCAGTATCTATTATGTTCTCTCAGTATCGTTATTCATGCTGTTCTGTTGTGTAAGAATTTATGACTGTGTGAATTCATCAATGTGTGCAAGGGTGTCTGGGTAAGTTTTGTGGGATTTTCTTTACTCAAGGATGTATTGGATAGAGAGAGAGAGCGAGAGAGAGAGAG